ATTTTTTTTTTTTTTTTTTTTGAAATAAATGTTGCACAATTTGGATTGCGGTATATTGTTTTAGCTAGCTATAAGCCTAGGAGAATTTGTGTGTTCGAGTAGTCGAATGATCGTGTTACCTGATACTTTCTTTACCTGAATATGAAGTGTTCTTAGGATTTATAGCTATTTGGAAGCTGGAGTTGCTTACCTTAGATAGCCCTAATTTTTATCTATTATTTTCTCTCCATTTTTTTTTCCTGTGGTGTTTTAGGGTTGTGAATTCTCTGTGGATTGGGTATTCTTGGGTAGGTAAATTCATATTTAAACATGCTTGGGCGGAACCTGCTCATATGAAACGGGGTTCATTTTCATTTGAAGATCATAATGTGGGTTTTAATAAAGTAACTTGCCTCCATTATCAACTTGCTAATAAATTAATAATTGGTGTTAATTTTATTATCATCAGGATTTGAGATGTCGACTCCAGCTCGGAAGAGGCTGATGAGGGACTTCAGGAGGTTGCAGCAGGACCCACCTGCAGGCATCAGTGGTGCCCCACAAGACAATAATATTATGCTGTGGAATGCGGTTATATTCGGGTGAGCATCCTTTGGTTTACCAGAAAAAAAGATTGGGTTTGCTACATTAATGAAATTTGAATGAATGTTTTATCATTCTTTTCGATTAATTTTTGTATATTGTTGAGTAAGACGTCTTATGTATTATATCTTGTCTCATGTGGATTGCAGTCCAGATGATACACCTTGGGATGGAGGTGAGTTAATCTAGTCCTAACTGATATTTAGCAAACATAATTTCTTTTTTTTTTCTGTTTCTTTTTTGGAACGCCATGCTTGCTAACTTTAGTTTTGTTTGCATATATGTATCTATCCCCCTATTTTACTTTTCTTGATTATAAAGACTTTGTAATATGCTTGTTGTACAATTGCTTGTGATATTCAATATTTCTGCTTTTCCATTTGCGTCATATATTAAGAACCTATCGCTGATGTTGTATGTTTCTGATCTTTGGAGATGGCTGACAACTGAATTTATATTGTGTTGCTTAGTTGATTTGTAACATTTACTATGGTAATAGTGTGTATTTAGAATATTTTCGCCAACTCAAATTATCCATCTCCTTAGAACACTTGATATCTTCGAGCATAATGTCAAGTGTTGACACCTTTTTTTGTTTTCTTGTTTAATTTCATTTAATTCGTTGTAAAAGCCACATGCTCTTGCATGCTCTGAATTTTTTGTTGGTCATCTTTTTGAAATAGTACTGTGAATGTATGTGGCAACCACAATATAGAGCAAAGACCAATTTAGAAATATTTATGAAGATTTTGTAGTCTGCCTCCCTTATATTGACTTCTATTCTTAAATCACATCATAATGCATGTGACCTTGTACTCTTTTATGTATGATGTGCTCTTTTCTGTATGATGCGCCTTGCCTGATGGACTACCATTAGAATTTTATATTATTTGTTGAAGTTCATCTGTCATGTACTTATACTTTGAGTTGCATTACGTTTCGTTTGTGATGATACACGTTGATTGGAACGTCATGCCTTGTCCTTTGAGTGTAATAGGTACATTCAAACTGACACTCCAGTTCACAGAAGATTATCCAAACAAGCCACCTACTGTTCGGTTTGTTTCTCGGATGTTCCATCCTAATAGTAAGACTGGCAGTAAAAAAAATCAGTTCGTTGATTCTTTTACCTTAATGTTAATCTCATTTTGAATTTTATCTTGGATTCAGTTTATGCAGATGGAAGTATTTGTCTGGACATCTTACAGAATCAGTGGAGCCCTATATATGATGCTGCTGCTATACTTACATCCATCCAGGTACAAGAGTTATCTTTTAGAATACTATGATTTATGTTTTTCTTTTTAATATTATTAAACAAACGTAGAGTGTTGAAGTATATTGGCATTTTTTTGTTGCCAAAAGTCATGGGTCTTTATTTTATGTAGACTCTGGTAAAAATTGCTACATTTGATGTCCATGGCCTTCCTTTAGGCCTTTAATGGTTGAGGCTATAATTTGTATCACTGTCGTCAGACAAACTGTAAATTCCGAGACTTGTTAAGTAACTTTAGAAAATCGACAACTTAATCTTATACTGGTGCCTTTTGATATGCTTATTCTTTAATGCTAAGTACAGGTTGAATAAATGGTTACCCTTGACAGCGTCTAAATCTAATTCTTCTTTCTTTCTGGGGAAATTTTTTCTTTTGAAAAATCAATGTGAAGTCGCACGAAATAGCTGTTGCCTGTTGGATTGAGAGTATTTGTGAAGCAGCTTCCCTGAAACTTGTAAAATTGAAGAATTAAATAATACTGAGCTTTTTATGATTCTTGATTGATGACCAGAGATATCATATATTATCTTCCATATATTGGATTGAGGGTATTTGTGAATTTTGAAGCAGCTTCCTTGAAACTTGTAAAATTGAAGAATTAAAGAGTACTGAGCTATTTATGATCCTTGATGGTCAGAATATCATATATTATCTTCCAAATATTGACTCACTCTGACTCTGGTTCATTTACTGTCACTAAAATCAAATAAAGTTCAACCACATGTTTATAACATTTATTAGTCAGAGCAAATATTTGAAACGCGTGGAAAATGAAGCATTTGAAGTAAATTTCATGGTGGTGGTTTTCTCTAGTGTTTATTCATTAAAATACTAAGAAAAAAGATAATCTTTATATATGTTCTTTCTAGTTTTATTCAGGAAAATGCTTTTCAGAAAAAAAAAAAAAAAAAGCTGATATTTACATTTTATTACTGTTGAAGTCATTGTTGTGCGACCCAAATCCGAATTCTCCCGCAAACTCCGAAGCTGCTCGTTTGTTCAGTGAGAACAAAAAAGAGTATAATCGCCGGGTTAGAGATATTGTGGAGCAAAGCTGGACTGCAGACTAATCCATAGATCGTGTGCCAATTTATGGACAATGGGCACTTTGTGTTCATCCTCTTATCAAGTTGTTTGTTAGGCAATCATATGTTGCAAAAAAGTTGCTTTTGTATCATGTAAATCTGGATCTTCATGAATTCTCTCTTGTTGGAATTATAGTGGACTTACTGTTGGGGATATGATATTACTGGAGCACCTGGATTAAGTTTATGGTGTGCAGACTTTTTCTTAATGCCTGGATTTATCATATTATGAGTCGATGATTGAGTTTATCGAAAATGCTGAATGATGAGATTTTTTTTTTTTNTAAATTGCTGCCAAACAAGTAATATTGCTAAGAGCTTGTTTGTATATTGATTTATTACTCGGTCAAAATCAAATAATCTCGGCTCACGACAACTTTGTTTATAAGTAAATTCAGTTTTTGCCTTAAACTGGATTGGGTTCCATTACCTGTAACATTGAATAAAATATAAATTACATTCTGCACGCATTTTAGTATTGTGTACCTTACCCTGAACAGTTGCACAACAATTGGCCTGTAGGAAGTTGCCCTCCATAAATTTCTCTTCCATTTTAGAAAAGTGACAACCCCACCACATCCTCTCCCAATCGGCCGTCACCCTCCCGAACTGTACTCATTATAGCTTCCTATATATATTGTGTTCTTTGTTTGTTTGTATTTAATATGTTTCACAAAATCCTTTCGGTAAACATTGGTTTCGTCAATTTGGATAATCTCCTTCAAATTTGGGAATTAGGGGTTACCCAGTCCGAGCTGATATCGATCTATATTGAGTGTCTTTCTTGTTTGGTTTTCTAGTTTATGTAAATTCAGCTTTCTCTTTTCCATTCAACGCAGGAATAGAGTGGTAATATGCCATTTGTTTATTTTTCCCACTTGAAAGGATCTACTCAGGTTGGGTCTATTTTCCCGAAAGGATCTACTCAGGTTGGGTCTATTTTCCCACTTTCTTCAATGCGCCAGCGCTCCTCCAGACAAGGTCGCCATTGACCTTGTCATATGTTGCCTTCATCCGCTGCTTATACATAGCGACCTGCAGTACAGTTGTGTCTTGCAGCTCGTCACTTGTCTCCAAGGCCTCCTTCTGGAGTTCGCAAATCTCGTATTCATCAAAATTGGTCAACTCAAAGCGATGTACTCCTCACCTCGACCAGTATGATTGCCTCCATGACGTATACCAGCCTAAAGGGTATTTATCATGTCGAGCGTTGTGGGTTATAAGACCATCTCATCTCCTGGCTTGGGCTCCATCAATAATGGCAGCTCGGCCATGAATTCCTTCAGCTTCTCGAACACGAGCTGATCTCTGTTTGTCCACGCAAATTTTTCTCCTTTCTTCAGCGTCTGGAAAACTCCTTTTGGCAGACTGAGCAATGAATCGGCTAAGGCCCGCCAATCGACTTGCAAGTACTTGAGCTTCTCGTAGGTTTTTCGGGGGCTTCATGTCTGCTTGCACTTTCGCTGGATTGACCTCTATTCCCTTTTCTGTGACTATGTAGCCCATGACTTACTAGTCGGGTCCAATTTCATCCCATACGTCCTAAGGGTCGTGAAGGTCCCTTTGAAGTCGTCTACATGATCGACCTCCCGCTTTCTCTTCACCAACATGTCGTCTACATAGACCTCCATGTTGTGGTCGATCTGGATTCTGAACATCTTGTTGACCAATCACTGATAGCTGACTCCCGCATTCTTTAGACCAAACGGCATAACGACTTAGCAATACATCCCACTCGTAGTAATGAAACTAAATATTTTCTGGTCCTTCTCCAAGGCAGCCTTGTGACACGCCCATCATGCTTAATAGCTCGCATTCAGCCATCGAGTCTACAAGCTGGTTTCAAGTCTCGAAAATCAATGCACATTCTCCACTTGTCTAGGGCCTTCTTTTAGCATAACGACATTTGATAACCACTCCGGGAATTGGATTGGTTAGACATGGCTGACATTTGATAATCCCCTAGTTTGACTCGAGCAAAGTCTGCCATTAGCCACAGAAAAAGTGATGCTCCACATTCAGGCATTTTCAAGTCGTCTGCTCGAAAGAAATTCAGTACTCTATCTTCAGCATCTTATTGGCTGTCTCAGATTAAGCTGTCAGAATCTGCTCCTAAGCACTCTATATCTCCTATGGTTTTAAGCATGCTCTGGAGGTTGTGTGTGAGGTATGGGGCAAGGTTCGTGCTTGTTGACTATTTCTGTTTTTTATTTTTCAGTTCTGTGATTGATCTATTTGAATTTAGAACTGCTGATGAGAAGTTTTTAAGTTACAAATACTACTTTTAAGGTTTGATTCAATGTTACATATCAAGAGGTAGCTATAATATTCTTAAGATTTGATGGGGATATATGATTTTTTTTTTTTTTTTNCCTTGTGAAGGAGCTGATGTTTACTGCAGGAACCAAAGCTCTAAGCTCTCTCTTTTTCCATTTAGTGTTGAAAGGCTGAGAGATTTATTTGGTGGTTAGCTTAACCTCACAATAGTTTTTGTATTTCACCCAAATTATTGAGAACTCATACTTGCAATTGGTAGTTTTAGGAAGACGACAATGTCCACTCAAATATTTATGATGTTCTGTATTTTTGTATTTAAACTTTTTCTAATTCATTTTTGCTTTACAATGAAGTATGCTAGTAGACTACATGCAGGCATTTAGAAGGGGGTATGAAAAGACTAATAACTAAAAATATTGATAACCCTGGTTTTATTTGCGTCTTATATGCCCATTAAGAGGGTCCATGTGGGGCTTTATGCTAGTTTAAACAAACGTAAAGGGTCATTTGTAGTTAGGGTAGACCCCAGTGTAACTTTTGTAATTAATTCTATTATTATTATTTTTTTTTTTTTTCCTGCAGAACATGTGTTGATTGTGTAGTCCATTGTATGCTCATTGAGAATTTGAGATACTAACGAATGAAAACTCGTACAGACAGAGCATTGTGGCTTATCAGAGCCGAGTGGAAAATGTCATAGAAATGCAATGTTCTTATACCCTTCCAGATTGCGTAAGCTGAGATAGCATTAAACTTTAAGAATTGAAAATTGTTGCTTTGATAAACAATCTTAAATTAATTATAACCAAATCACTAATGTGAATAAGCTTCTAAGTCAATAATGGTAAACAATCAACATATAAAAACAATTTCAACCATATAGGGACAAAGGTAAACAAATACAATCACTTGAGGATTATATAATTTTATCATATAATTGCAAATCTTCCATAAAATTGTTAGGTATTCCATATCACTATTTTAGTGACAAAAATGAGGAAGAGATGCAGAGTTAAAATTAAGATAAAAATGTGATTCCACAAAATCTCAATGTCTGAATAACTATCAATACAATTGAAGAATGTTGTCCAATCACAATAACAATTGAGACGCCATATCATCAGGCCTTGAGGACTCGGAAATGGCATTTTGTCCAATTTCCAGTCTTGTCAGCAGCCTGCTCGAGGGTTCAAATTTCAAATCTAAAGAGCTCTCAACTTCTTCCAACTCAGTCGATGTAAGCACGAATTGGCTCCCAACTGCATCTATTGTTCTCTCAACAAAATCAGGCCTTGATGTGATATAGTCCTTCATGCGGCATATGAAGTCCAGGTGACTCCTTGCCTAAAACAGAAAAAGTACAATTGCACATATCACAAGACCTATAACATATCCAGGTTGATGTTTTTTATTAATCATACTTTTTTGTCGGTAATACGAGTTTTTTTCTATTTCGAAAGTTAATATCTAAGCGGGCAACATAAAAGGCACTCCACTTATGTACTTGCATAATCCAGGATATAATGAGAAGCACAAATCTTGAAATAAACTCACTTAGTAACACAAAAGTAAGTAAGAAAAGTAAACCTGTCGATATTCAGGAGCTCGTTTGGGCAGTTTGAGATATTCCATGTTGGTGGTCTTGTAATCCCATAAGAAGGACGTGTGGTGTACCCACCTACTTTTGGTGATAGACTGCGCATTCCCTCCAAATTTGTGGTTGCCAAGCACATAATCTAGAATCAAGAAAAAAAAAATATGAAGGAAACAGTAATATTCTTGATTCTTTACTATATCAATATTTATTGAATTGTAAACACAGTCTACTAACAAGATAAAATAATTAACTTTAAAATTAGAGAAGACCCTTTTCGACTACCAAATTATAAGGATTCAAGTACAAATGTACTATGATAATTGATAATAACTAAAATCATTACAAAACATTATAGTTGATCACATAGAGTATTCAGTTTTTTATCTGGGCCTGTGGACCTGTTCTGGAAAAGTATCATAACCGAAAAAACATGATTGAATATGTACCGTTCTCTCGAAGCTTGAAGTCTCCAATTCCTTTGAATACTTTATTGTATAATAGGCTGCTCCATGACATGATAGGCTGAGGATATGACTGTAAACCAGGAACAGCATCCTTGTTGCATATAAAGGTCACGAATATTGTGCCTTGATCAACAATGACAGTACCGCCTCCCGTGAACCTCCGAATGACAGGAATATCATCTCGTAAAACAGGCTCAATTTCAAGAAGTTCCTCAGGTTTCCTAAAACATAATACATGTATCTCACATCAACTTCTTGAATTAATTTTCCTTATGTAGAGCATAAGAACAGGTTAGTTCTTAAAATCTGATATTATCTCAAATCCTTACAATAATTCAAGAAACAATCTGAATCAATTAATAAAATTGCAGATCACAATGGAAATTATCCACCCCAAATTGCGAATAAGCCTATGAGTAGGTTATTACTCGACTTACGAGTTTAACATGTCGACCCTGTCAAGTAAATTAATAAATGAATTGCATACGCGAATATGTAATATATATACAAATATATGCACATGGAAAGTGGCACACTTATACTCTAAAGTTCTTTCAACAGAGAATAACTTGAAACACATTTGATGCCAAAATGACTTTAAGAGAAAAGCATGCACATGAAGGCTGCACAAAGTGGTACTATGAAAAGTACATTATTGTCATCCTAGCTCTAAAATTACAATGACAATAAAAAAATGTGCTTTTTAAAATAAACGATCCTTTCCGATTTCTTACACATCAAACTATATGAATCTTACTCTAGAATCTCCATTAACAGCAAGTCCGCCACAGAACCATTATCTAGCAGGTTACAAACAGGCAGATTGAAGATCATCGTGTAAGATTCCTAGGAGAAGATCATCGAGTAGAAAACCCAGAAAATGACTTAAAAATAAGCTAATGACATATAGATCAAGTAAACCTATGAACTTGAAAATTTTAACATCCATTAACGATCAAACTTATGTTAAATGCGAGACAACCAGCCACCATCTTGACCCGCCAAGCAAAGCTAATTGTGGCAACACCTTCACTATTTGTTCGAAAATTCCCTCCACACAGCTAGAGCAACCTTTGTGCATATAACTAGCTAAATACACGAAATAGATACAGGTTATGAACTGATGAAAATTGATTTTTTTTTTCAGTAAAAGAAAATTATGACAGGGAAAATGTAAAACTTAGTTAAGTTGATATCAAACTCGAAAAACAAGAAAAAAAATCTCAAATTTTAGGGACATACTATGCTATTTGGGGCGGCCATAAGTTGTAGAGGGAGAAAGTAAGTTACCCGGAAACACCCATGACAATGGTGGGTTCGGTTGTTCCATCGTTGATGATGCACCAGTTGTTGAATGAGGTCCTGAGCAACCTCTCCTCTAAATGCAATTGCTGCAGAATGGGCACTCCTTTTAGCCTGAGAAGATTCATTAGGGGATGCCCTAGTTTTTTTGTTTCAGATAAGACGGCCATAACTAATCGTGACCAAGCGCTGGAAATAAGACTTGCCTCTGGCACGGGTTTGAAACACTCTATGAAGCATAATCACTGAAAATAGAGACTGCCATAAAGAATCATTATCAATGGCTGTGTTAGAACTAAAGCCGTCAGAAAGGGCAAGCGGGGACTGGCCCGTAGCCCTCCGAAGCCCATAGTTTGGGAGGGCGGCTCCCCACCTCGGGCCGCGGGTTGGACAGGCCAGGCCCGCCCAATATTTNGTAAAATTCAACAAGAAAAATAATTATTTTCACAAACAAAATTTTTGATATTTTTAATAGAAATTAATTTTAATTTATTCTTTAATATTAATGTCAATAGTTTTCACATATAGAGAAAGAAATTGAAAACACAATTGAAGTGTTCGAAATTAAATTAAGAGACAATGGAAAGAAAGCTGAAAAATTGAAAGAAAAAAAGGAAAAATGGTTGGAGGTGGTTTGATGTGGTGGGCCCCTATAAACACGTTCTATTGAGCGCGTGTGATACAAATCTTCCAAATTCACCTTGGAGTGCAACACACCTCCTCTTTTTGCTCTTTTGTTGGTTTAAAGGAAATTAAAAAACACAACTTTGAGAATATAAAACTGTGTTACAAATGCCACCTTCAAACCTATACGCTTTAACCGAAAAGCTGCAGGCAATGTTCTGAAAACCGAATCGGTCATCGAACTGATGAAACTACTGATTCAATGATTCACTGGTTGAACCATTGGTCGAACTGGTTTAATGAATATATAATATTTTATTTGTTTTATATGTAGAATATATAATTATATATATTTTTATTATTATTGTTATAGTGTATGATGTTTCTATAAATAAGATTTCAACAATAATTACAACTGAAATTATTGAATAATATTGATAATTTTTTAATTTTATTTTATATATTTAAAAATTTTATTTATATTTAAGCTACAAAATATAGAGAATAAAAACAACTCTATTTCAGTTTTAAATCAGATTTTAAGTTTTTTATTATTGATTAAAAAAATAAAAATTATGTGCATGACAAATAATAATAAATTGCTTATTTCTTCTTCAATAAATTGGGAATAGATATAGCCCAATAGATAGTCCAATACAATTAATAGTACATTTTTCTTTTAATGAATACAATTTAACTGGTAAGGCCAAATATTGACCCAATAAATTCATACTCCACATTGAAAACACAAATATAAAAGGTGTACAATTTAAATGACTTCACAATCGACTCTTCACAAGTTCAAAAGTCAAGACTGTTGAACCGTTCAAACCGGTCCTGGTTCACCGGTTCGACCGATTTTGGACCTGTTCGAACAGTTCTTGAGCGGTTCGAATGCCTCCTGGTTTTATGTTGCAAACCAAACCGGAATGAAGGTTGGCTACTGGTCGAATCGGCCTGTCCGGTCTGATTTTCAAAATCATGTTGAGAACTGCCCCGTCGAGAGTGCCTAGCCACCATGCTCCCGAGGAACAAAGGCACTACCAGACCGCCTTGCCAATTTTTTAAGGTTGATTCATACAAATTAGAGGTACTGGACCGATGACTAGTGCCCAGGCTGCCATCTAGATCGATTTTCAATACACTTGTTCTAAGTTAGCTTTCAGAATTCAATGGCCTCATCCCCAATTATATGTGTAATATATTTTTTTCTAATGAATTTCAATACAAATAACAAAAAAACAAATAGTCTATAAGTAAAGTTTTAATATGATTAGCTTACATTGTAAAATTTTACATAAATATATACTACAAATTTCTTACTGAAAATAAAAATATTTTTTGAAAAATATATATATTTGTAAGCATTGCAACTAAAAGTCTTAATATTGTCTTGTATCTTAAAAATTGAGCATATATTTAAGAAAATAACAAACATAAATATTTTATACATCAAGACCTATATATTGTTAATTCTCGTCATAAATGTTTACCACATAATTTTATTCTTAAAATTTAGAGAAAAAAAAAAAGAATAACTTAATTGGGTCCAATTAAGTTGACTGGACCATGACAATGTACGGGCCAATCAAGTCACGTAGGGTATCGGGTTATGATTGGGTCACTCCGAATTTGACCGGGCCGCTTGTTGATTAGTAAGAATTATCTAACTGCACTCAGACAGACTGATTCAATAAAAAAATATTGCTTATAATTCATCTTTTGTAATTTTATTCTTAAAATTCATTTTTTTGTAATTTTTATCTTGATTATTCTTAAAATTCATCTTTTGTAATTTTATTCTCAAAATTCATCTTGCATTAGACCGTGACCCGTATGGATCACTTCTTTGTGGGACGGGTCAAAAAGTTTCCATCCCAACCAACCCCTTCACTCAGGCGGAAGCTACATGTACTACTAATGATTGGTATGAATGAATGGAATTAAGAAGGAATGAAATGAGCTATGGAAAGGAATGACAACTGGAATGGAAAGCCATAAGCATTCCCATACCTGCGATTGGTATTGGCAAGGATTGAAACACTTATTCCTGACTTGATACCATTGACATGATTGGTAATTAAAAATTAACTGTTGGCATCTGCAAATATATATATTTATTTATTTATTTATTTATTTATATGAGTGTGTGTAATGTAAAAATTCCTTCACTATATCAACAAAATATGTTCAGTTTTAACAACAATTATTTACATTAATAAAAGAGTATAAATTATCTTTTTAAGAGAAATATATATTAATTTGTTGATTTATTTTCGTTGTGCATTAGAAATATGTACAAAAATGTTAAGGAAAGTTAATACATATTTAAATTATTTTAATAAATAATCTTCTTAAATATAAAGATCATTCAAAATTTGCTACAATTTAACAAACTGAATATTAGAAAAAAGTAAACTTGTAATCATAAAATAATCTCAAAACGTGACAAAAATAAGCAAATGTACGAATGTATCATTCAACAAAAAATTCTAAAAGATAAAATAACTAGTGAAGATATTATAGGTCTGAAAATAAGAAAAAATAAAAATAGGTGATTTAAACTTGGTCACTTATGATGGCTCTAGCCAACTGCTCTCTTCCTTCTTCAGTCATGCTAAAAAACACGTCGGTTAACTCGGGCGATTGAGCGATACGACACACCACTTTAATAACATCTAGTACAGCTAGATCGGGAATTTTTCTTATCTCTGAATCAATCCTTTGTCTCTTTTCTGAAATTTCAGCATCAACTCCAATTGCTTTACCAAAAATTTCACTAGCTTTAGCAATTTCACTTCCAATAATCGAAGCTGCTTCCTTTATGTCTGTCATAGGCATCAAGTTATCAACACTTCTTTTTCTTTTCTTCCTCTTGTCAACTGTTGCAGATCTTGGGGACTGTAGTGGAGAAAATGAAGCATCTAAATCATCAAGACCAATTTCGGTTGTTGTTTCGACGTCATTACCAGCATTAGGATTGACATCTTCCCTTTCTATCTCTTCCATCATATCATTAGGACCTTCGGCATTTCCTCCAGTAGCACGATCTTTTCCAAAAATAATGACTAAGTCGTCATACATGGGGAAAGCCTTATTTTGCCAAATTCCATGGGTAGGATGACTCTGTGTCACAAGAAAAAAAAGAATAACTAATAGAGATTAACAAGATATATAGTTAATCAAATACTTCAGTTAAACTAACATACATATTTCTTGGGACACCAATAATAAAAATATCTTATGAGAATAATTGAATTGAATTATTATGCTATTGATGTATTACTATATGACTATATAATGTATACACAAAACATGTGAAATAAACATGAAATGAAAAAATGTAAAATCTGAAACCAAAGTCCATGATTACCCAAATTATGAGACCATGATACATGAAGCTATATACTGATACATGAGACCATGACACATTACAAATTTTCTTAGCCATGAAAAAATAAAATAAAATAAAAAGCAATATACCATAATTTGACAGAAGCCAACAAACATATGTAGTTGTATAAGTACCTGTAAGTAAGAGTCCCATACGGCCTTTTCGGCTACGATGCATTTTTTTATCGGATCCATACCAAATCCACTTGTATTTGGACCATTTAACATATCATACACAATATTGAAATCTCTTTTCAATGTCTTAATTCTTGACTCAATATGTGGTTTAGCCTTGAAACCAGAGTTAGGCAATGAGACTCGCAACTTGTCCTCGACAAAGTTCAAGTAGCCAGGTTTGAACCCATTTTCAGCCTTATAGGTTCCAAGATTTACCATATCAAGGAGTGCATCCACAAGTTTAGCATCTTCCTCATTATTCCATTTTCTTTTGTTCTTACCACGACCTCTTATTTCTTGAGGTTGATGATCCATGCTTTAGAAGGCAAACACAAATTGACCATAAAGATTATTAATAGAAAAATATCCATCACATGAATTAACAAATAATCCATTACATGAATTAATAAATAAAGAATCCAAAAGTTTGACACTAAAGATGTAATCAATAAAAATTATATCACATACAGTGCAATATAAACATACTAACAAAAATTGTTCCACTCGCAATATAAAAAATAAATTATGCAGAGTTTCTATGCGCTATCCATGTGTTAAACATACTAGTAGCAAGGTTTCTTCTAAAAGTAGTCCATTCGGTAGAAGGTTCGATCGTAGTTACAAGGTCTTCATCCTCATCTATGTCATTATTAGCTTGTTGATTTTCTATATCTTCCTCATCATCGTAACCACCCATTTCTTGCTTAATGAAATTATGAAGTAAGCAACATGCCATGATGATGCGATTTTGAATTTTTATAGGATAGTATGAAGAACTTCTCAAGATTCCCCATCGAGTCTTTATCAAGCCAAAAACTCTCTCTATTGTGTTTCTAGCAGAAGAATGCTTCATATTGAAAAATTCCTCAGCAGTGGTAGGCATGTGTCTTTCTCTCCAATCATTCAAATGATATCTTTGGCCTCGAAATGGTGCAAGGAATCCTTCACCATTTGTATACCCAGCATCCACAAGATAATACGTACCTTGAAGTTATATTAAATATCATTAGTATAAATTATTCAGTTTTTTCTTTTTTCTTTTTTCTTATTTTGGCATGTATTTTTTTTTTTTATCTTAATTGAACTAGATTTATTCATCTTACCACGAGGAACCACTAAGCCATTTC